CATATTTTATTCAATCATTTGGGTCCAAACAGATCCTAAATAATCAAAAGCAAATACGAATGAAATTATTAGAAAATTACTTTCTAGAAGCAGAACTTAGAATTTGAAATGTTCTGCAGTTTTAAGATTTGTAATAGAAATTCAGAAACATAACAACATAAACACGCGCATACACAAAAGGGGCAAACTGTAACCAGAACCTCAAGTTTCGCACTAAAAATTTCACAATATACCTTAGAATCACAGCAGGAAAACACATCACTAAACAATGAAAATAATCCGAACACGAATAAGAAAAAATAAAAAGGAAAAAGATCACAAAATACCTCTCGTATAGTAACCAATCGCTTTCTCTCCTCGTCAATCTGACCTAGCTGAGCCTGAAGTTTTTCCTTGACCTTCATCTTATTCTTCTTGATCTCTTCCTCCTTGGCCCTAAACGTCGACAGGACAAACTTCGACAACTCCTCGTCCTCCTTCAGGAGCGGCCGTGATTGATGAATTGATGAGGGAGAAGATGATGACGCCAAAGATGAACAGAATTAAGAATACCATGCCACGGATCTAAAAAAACAAAGATGGACGAATCTTGGGAGTAGTCAGGTGTTCCTCTCTCCCATTAGGGGTAAAAATAGACATTTCACCCAACCACCTTAAACGCCTTGATACAGTATCCGACCTTAGAGATGGGATACACAATACCAAAAATAAGGGAAAAAAAAAGGCCATGACCATATCATGGGCTTTTTCATACTCAACCAAACAAGTTAAACTTATGGATATAATATCAATTTCTAGGATATCAAGTCCTATATGGCCAACCAAACCGACCCTAACTGTATGGGCTACGTCTGAGGATAAAATTCTACCATTATATCACAAAGCAATTGTTATTCCTAAATTATAAAAAAAAAAATAATAATAATCACTTGGGATTGATTACTGAGATACAAAGGATTAACATTACATTCAGTTGGCCACATTTTGGAGGGCTGCTGCGTAGAATGCCACCTCCCATGCAATAGATATGCAAGGCACAAGCTTGCTCAGCCAATCACAAGAAAAAATGAGCTCATATATAGTTTTCTCATGGAACACGAATTGTGATGATAAAAATGTTCTATGGCCAGCGGACGAATCAACAAGTATCAAAGTAATAATAAAAATGAAAAGAAAAAAGAAAGAAAAAGGAGAGCTAAGTTATATGTAAACAATTCATGAACAAACAAAAACGACGAGCAAGTTACTAATAGCAGCTTCAAAACCAACAACCAAATCGGAAGCTTTAAATTCTTGTCCTCATAAGGCAGATGATAGAAAAACAAACCACGAATGAACTATCAAAACCACAAGTTACTCAAACAAACTAAACTATAAAGAAGCATCTCAAGTACTTAGTAAATTAATCAGTCAAGAAAGACTT